GAGTTGGAAGCGGCTCATGGCGGCGGGTTTCATTTCTGTTGAGATATTGTGAATTGTTCATGTCATTTTTTTTTTAAATAACAAACTATTAAAACACTTTGCAGTAGGGCTCTTGGTCTTGCTCTTCCTTGGTTGTTGACAATTTTTAGCTTTTTGTTTTCGCTCTTTTCATTGAAAATGATACATAGGTTTTTAAATTGTAAATACCAAGAAATAAATGGAAGCTCTCTGCATTAAAGTACAAATGACGCTTAGAAGCTGTTCCATGTACCAATCGAATATATTTGAAGCATTTATTCAGGGGATTATAGCAATGCTATTAAGCCAGTGTAATCAACAGCATAGGCATTATTCCTCTTGACTTTGCCTGCCCTTGCCCAAGTCCTTGTTGTAAACCAAGGGAAAGTCAGGTAGAGGAAATGCTGCCTAGGCCCCACATCAGGCAAACGGTTAACTAGGTGAAGAAGGGGTAGGAGGTGGGGCTTGAGTGTACACAAAAAAACAAGCCTCAGCTCATTCGTGGAAGGAAGCAAGAGCCATAATAGCCTTCAATTCTTTGGAATCCTGAGTCCAGTAAAGTTGCTTTCTTGGCCTCCCCATCAGTGGGTCAGATTTAAGTGCTTCAAATAAAACCGGAAGACTGCACTCCCGAGGTCTGCAGGGAGGGGTTAAGTGTCTGCTGGAGAATTCTCAAGGGAGCTGGGGGACAACAGTACTTGTGATATTTTGTGGCCCATCTTCTGGCTTGTTACTTGCTTGGGGAGCCAGGAGGATAAACTCCCGAATCCAGCATCGCTCTCCTCCGGGCTGTTTCCTTGGCAACACTGTGGTTTAGCCGTCTCAGCCTCTCCTACAAAACATAAATTTGGAAAACTGAAAAGCTTTAGTGGTCGCTGTCCAACACCCAGTTGGACAGCGACATTTCAGGCTTTTAGTTCACCTCAAAGGTGTTATAAGACACATAAAAGGCAGCAACTAGGTACTAAGAGAAAGGCTGCAATCCGCACAGTCTGCAGTTTGAAACCACCCGCAGCTCCTCAGGAGAAAGACTGGGCCTTCTCTCCATAAATAGTCTTGGAAACCTACCGGCAGTCACTGAGTCAGCATTAACTTGATGGCAGTGCATACTACGGCTGACACTAGCTAATCTTTCCCCCCAGATTTAAAACGTTTTAGTCATGTGTTGAGGACTTGGTCCCACCCCTTAAATGGAATACTCCAACACTTACAAATGGAAGGAAAAAAAATCACTTGGTAAAATAGTTTACCTGAGCATTCTGTAGAATGTTGTTGACCAAGACAACTCTTCGCCGAGCATTAAGGAGCTTCTTTACATAGGGATCGAGGTCCAGGGCCACCTTCTGGTCCTCATTGATGCGGCACAGTTCTGGGGATGGAAGGAAGGCCCGACTAATACCTAGTGGCCTGGCCTGGCCTTGGGGGAAGTAGTAATGGGATGGACAACACTCGGACCGACCAACACAGCCACTAGACACCTATGGGAGACATACCTGGAAGGAGACCATTGCCAGCTCTGGTGTCCAGAAATCAAGGGACAAAAACCCAGGCCACAGGAAGGCATAACAAAATGTCCTGAAATTATGCTGGAGGTTTCTGGGTATAGGAAGATGGTCACTCACCTGTAGCCAGATTGTCAATTTGTTCCCGGAGTTCTACTTGAGACTCTCTGCAAAGGGATACGAGGCCCACACGGTCAGGTAACTAGTGAAGTCGGGTCACTGAGTGCCCAGGGAAGCGAGTTTCAACATGACTTCCACCTGCGGCCTTCCGCCTGCTGTCATGCCCCAATCAATTTCCCACCTGAACGCCAGCGAGGCTCCAGCTTGGCTCCTCCCTGTCTCGACCCCGCCCCTGCAGAGCCAGCTCGAGGCCCGCCCACCCTCAGGCACCTGACTGCGTGGACGTGGGTGTCGAGCTGTTGTACAGCGGGTTGCAGAAACTCGAGAAGTCCCTCGGCGAAGAGGTCGCGGCCCGCAGGTCCCGCCACCGGGGTCCCTGCCCCGGACACAGCGGCGGAACCAGCCCCAGCCATCACGAACTAGCCTTAAGTCCGGAACCTGCCGCGAAGGCCGCCGGGAACTGAAGCGTCGGCGAAGTGCACCGCTAGGGGGCGTTCGGGAAATGCCGTCTCTGACCCTGACACGGATTTCTGGGAAATGAAGTCTTCGGCGCGAGTAGGGCTGGGCTTTCGAGTTTCCTGGGAGAAGTAGTTTTCTGTAGGCTTAGAAAACCCTACTTTCCACCCTGCAGGAGGAGCTTGGGGAAGGGGTCTTTTTTTTTTTTTTTTTTTAAAAGGGGAGAGCAGGTTTGTTTGTTTTTCTCTCCCTGATGTTCATAGTTTTCTCCTATTAACTTTATGAGGAAAATAAATTTTTTCATCTTACAAATTTTGTTAAAATCAAAACCAAGTTGTATTAGTCTGGGTCCTTTGGAGAAACAAATCCACAGCGAGTCTTGTGTATAAGAGAGTTTTATGTAAAGAAAATGTGCATCATGAAAACATCCCAACCCAATGCTACCCAAGCCCACAAGTCCAACATTAACCCATTAACCCAACACCAGTCCACAGAGTCCTCCACCTCACAAAACAGAGGCAATGATGCCGACTGCAGGAGGAAAGCTGAGTCAGTGAATGAACAAGCATCTCAGCACTAGCAGGGGTCTCCACACGGCTGCTCCAGCACCCAGGGCTGCATCGGGATAGGTCCATGTGGCTTCTCCTTGGGGATGTCTTGTAGGAAGTCAATCTTGCAAGCTGAAGCAGGGAACTGCTAAGGCAGCTGCACCTGGTGCGACCATCACAAAGCAAGAGACTCGAGAACTCGAAAGGCGAGGCTCACCACCCATTTATCCCTCCACCTGTCAATTAGCCCCACATGTGATCATCGGCCAGGTTGGCACAATTAACTAACTCACAAGTCTTTCCATCAACACATAACAGTTAAATAAAAAGATGTAGTAATTGCTTTTAAAGTTAAAAATGTATATTTCTAAACAAAGTTTCTTTTTTTTCAGATTTTTAAAAAGTCATTTTATTGGGGGCTGTTACAACTCTTTATTCCATACATCAATTGTATCAAGCATATTTGTACATATGTTGCCATCCTCATTTCCAAAACATTTTCTACTTGAGTAACAAAGTTTATTCTTAATGGCACTAAACTACATATGAGACTATGTGTTTCTATATGTGCATTTATCTTCCCTTAAAATGTTTTCCTGATTTTGTCTCACCTCATGGCTTTCTAGAAATGCTACATTTCTTGTTGAATTTTCAACAAGAAGATCTCAGCCCTCTGTCTGGCACTGCCAGGAAAGTGTGGGTTCAAACCCACCAATGGCCAGAACGATGAGGCTGTTTCTATGAAGGTTTACAACCGGGCGGGGACTCTAGAAGGTCGCTCGGAGTTGGAAGCGGCTCATGGCGGCGGGTTTCATTTAGCTGCTCTGGTATTAGGATTATTTTTAAGTTTGTTCATTTATTCCCTTGTCACATAAATTAGCTGTAACACTTTAGACAAGTCACATTGCCTTTCTATAGATTCATTGTCTTTTTCTTTTTTTTTAGACTTAAAAAATAACTTTATTAGCGGCTCATATAACTCTTATCACAATCCATCCATCCATCAGTTGTGGAAAGCACATTTGTAGTACCCTGCTCTGGTATTATTTCTGACATCAATCTACATGGCGTTTTGCTCTCCGACCCGAACCACCCAGAGTTGTGTCTCTACAAATTAAGATTCTGCCTTTTCAGCTCCTGACAAGTAAGCAGGCGCCAGTCTCTCTGCTACCTCTCACTGGCTCCTTTGGGCTCATTCATCCGTGAGAAAGAAGGGCTCCCTGAAGTGACCCACGCTTACTGTGACCGTGCTGATAAGCAGAAAGAGCTGGGTCAGAGGTGAGGGCAGCCCAGGACTTGTCATGTTTCCCGGGGCAGGGCGGCGTCACCACTCCAGGAAGCTCCCGAGAGAGCGCCCAGAGTCCCACGGCCCTTAGTCTTTGGAAGTGTGAGCGACTGAGACCTTCACAGGCCAAGACCCTCCACACTTGCTGCCCTTGAGCCCGTCTCAACTCCCAGCAGCCCCACAGGACAGGCTGGAGCTGCTCCGGTGGGTTTCGGAGACTGCCACACTTCATGGAAGTACCAAGACTCGTCTTCCTCCTGAGAAGGAGCTGGCGGTTTTGAGGTGCTGTCCTTCAGGCTAGCAGGCCAACTCGGAACCACGACACCATCAGGGCTCCTGCGACCTTAATGCACTGTTAGTTATCAGTGCAATCGTGATTACTATGCATGTTTGATTGCCTCGCGCCTCTCAAGTGCGTAGTTTTGGGGGCTTCTACTATGATGGGGCTTCGAAAAGTTCATGGGAAAAATTTCATTATCTTTTGAAATCCATATTTGAGGCCCCCTTGTGCATTTGTACCTATTCAGTATTGCCTGTATTGTTTGGAAAACAAAGGCCCCTTGGTGACTCAGGAATTTCCAGAAACTAGAGACAAAATCCCACATCGCTTTCTTTGTCCCCGACACAGGCCACAGCCCTCGGAGGTGCCCCTTCACAATAGGGCTGTCAGATTTAGAAAGCAAAACTAGCACACCAAAAGTCACGGCACACCTGTTACATCTGAACGCGTACCAACATGGGAGATTTTTCAGTGGGACTATTTTATCTGCTCATCCTACTTCAAAGGCTAGTTCTCTTGTGGAAAATCCCTGTTCTGTTTGTATGCTTTTCTCTCCACTCCTCCTGTCACATTGATTCACCCTGATCATCCTGAAGCCTACTGCAACTGGCTCCCTCTGGTCTCCGTTCTTGTTAGTCTCTCCAACCCCCGGGCCAGTCTGCTTTCTAAAATACCACTGACATTAAGAAATATCTCCCCCGCTCCCCGCCATCAGTGGTGATGGGACTTTACAATTCATCCTGTGTTGGTTCCTGGGACACTGTGAGAGATTAGGCATCCCTCCCTCCTCTCTGCTTGCATCTTTATCACATAGCAGAGGCCCTTTTCTGGTGCTTTCTCAGAGAGCAGTGGGAGGTGAGGGGGCTGGATATCCGGCCTGTGAAATCATGAATACCAGTGACATCATCACATGCCTCAGCAAAACGAGGCCGCTCCAGCCATGGCGTTAACCCCCCCAAATAAACAAACTCACTGCCACTGATTGAGTTGATTCCGATTCACAGGGATCCTGAAGCACAGAATAGAAATGCCCCTGTGGGTTTCTGAAACAGAAACTTTTGGGGGGAGTAGAAAGCCTCATCTTTCTCCCTTGGAGTTGGTGGTTTTGAACGGCTAACCTTATGGTTAGCAGCCCAGTGCATAACAACTACATCACCAGGGATCCATTGTTCAGTGCCATCACGTCGGTCCTGACCTATAAGGACCCTACAGAATGAAACACAGCCCTGGCCGATGCTTCCAGTCACTGTGTCCATTCATCTTATTGAGGGCCTTCCTCTTTCTTCCTGGCTGCCCCTGGCCAACAATGTTGTCCAAAGTACGTAAGACAAAGTCTTGCTATCTTTGCCTCTAAGGAGCACTCTGGTTGTACTTCTTCCAAGAGAGATTGGTGTGTCCTTTTAGCAGTCCATGCTACTTTCAACATTTTTCTCCAGCACTGATTCATATTCATCGGTTCTTCTGCAGTCTTCCTTATTCAATGTCCAACTCTCACATGCACACGAGATGGCTGAAAATACCAGGGCTTGGTCCAGGTGCACCTTAGTCTTCAAAATAAGATCCTTGCTTTTCAACAAAGAGGTCTTGTGCAGCAGATTTACCTAATGCAACATGTCTTTTGATCTCTTGACTGCTGCTTCTGTAAGAATTGACTGTGGATCTAAGACAGACAAAATCCCTGACAACTTCTACCTCTTCTCAGGTTATCATGAGATTACCCATCGGTCTAGTTATGAGGATTTGATCTTCTTGACATTGAATTCTAATCCACACTGAAGGCTGCAAACCCTTAATCTGCATCAGCAAGTGCTTCAAGTCCCTCAGTAACCAAGGTTGTGCATAATAATGAAGGTCGTTTATTGGCCCTTCTCCAATCCTGATATCACATTCTTCTTCATATAATCCAGCTTCTCTGATGATTTGATCAGCACACAGATTGAATAAGTATGGTGGGAGGATACAACCCTGGCACACATCTTTCCTGATTTTATTTATTTAAATCATTTTATTGGGGGCTCATATGCTTATTACAATCCATCCATCAATCCATTGTGTCAAGGACATTTGCACCTTTGTTGTCATCATCAGTCTCAAAACATCTGCTTTCCACCTAAGCCCCTGGCATCAGCTCATTTTTCCCCCTCCCTCCCTATCTCCCCCTCCTTCATGAACTCTTGATAATTTAGTCATTATTATTTTGTCATATCTTACACTGTCCAACATCTCTCTTCACCCACTTTCTGTTGTCCGACCTCCAGAGAGGAGGTTATATGTAGATCCTTGTAATGGGTTCCCCCTTTCTACCCCATCTTTGCTCCACCCTCCCGGTATCACCTCTCACCACTGGTCCTGAGGGGATCATCTGTCCTGGATTCCCTGTGTTTCCAGTTCCCATTTGTACCAGTGTACATCCTC